CCTGCGGCGACAAATCACGGACTGGTGAGATGGCGCCACTCCTCTACGAGTTTCCCGGGAATCCTGGATAGAAAAACGGGAACTGGGTTTTTCCCAGAGAGAGAATTCTGGGTATTGTTGCTTCTTCTTCTTGTCGGGTGATCGCTGCCATGAGCACGTGTAGCTCTCTTTCAAGTGTACTCGAGGATTGTTAAATGTTGTTAAATAAATGTTGTTTTAGTTTAAAACGTGGTCGTGGACTTAACTAATTCACATTTACAACCTTCTGATAAAGACAGTCTTTGTGGAGATGTAAATGGATGGAGAAAGACGGCCAGGTTTCGTCTAACCGATGGCGGCCATCCATTACCTCCAGTAGTATACCTCAAGGGTGTCCACCCAGAAGAATTGTAAAGTGCACTAGCCAGAAGATTCTGAGAAAAAGGGCTCTAAAGTTTTAAGTGCAGTTCATATACTGGTCGATTTTACACTATGGCAGCACAGCGAAATGGCTGAGTCTGTAGCGAACTCGCTTCCCACATAGGTGATCTAGGTTCGATCCTACCTTTGGCTTTGGCTAACTTTTTTTTTTAATTGTTTTAAAAATTATAACCCTTTTAGAGCCCTTTTTCTCGGAATCTTCTGGCTAGTGTGCTTTACAATTCTTCTGGGTGGACACCCTGGAGATATACTACTAACCTGCGAAGTTTCATCCCGAACTGAATTTCCGAGATCATAAGGTTCTCTTGTAAGCCAAAATATTCCCCCCCCCTTTGGTAACGTTTAAAGTAATTGATATCTAAAATATCTCTCTTTTTCTACTGTTGTAGATTTCTGACTTTTTTTTTTCTCTAAAAGACTTCAATATTATAAAATAAAGATATAAAAAGTTTTGAAATGAATGAGGTCAGTATTATTTCACTAAAACTTTTTATTGTTAAAAAGATTAAAAGTAAACTGTTTTCTTTCAAAATTTTCCTCTTTTTTCTGCTGTACTTATTGATTCACCTCCAAAAGTTGATAAGTACAGCAGTGAAAGTCTAAATAAATACAGTGGTACCTCAGTATACGTCTGCTTTAGAATATGTCAAATTCGGAATACATCCTGTTTGGGCGAAAAAAATTTTGTTAGGTATACGACTTAATTCAATTATATGCGCCATCTATGAACAAGTAGCACTCTTGGTGTAATAGACCAGACTAGACATTTGCGGTGCCACAGTTTATAACTTTGTTAAATTTCTTCTGATTTTAATTTGTAAGTAAAATTTTATTATTTTTATTAATCATGAATTGCAAAAAGGCTATTGAAAAGCAACAGAAAACTAAAAAAAATGACTAGAATCACAATGGAACTAATAAAAGAGATTGTTGAGAAATATAAAGGTGGCACGCATGTTCGAGATTTTAACTGTTGCATACCGTATTCCGAGAACAACAATATCGACAATCATTAAAAATAAAGACATTATTGAATCTGCTAATGTTGGGAAAGGGGTAAAATCAATTTCTAAACAGAGATCGAAGACATTAGATCATGTCGAGAAATTGCTTTTGCTTTGGATAACTGAAAAACAGTGTGCTAGAGACAGCGTATCGGAAGCAATTATTTGCGAGAAAGCTGAAAAGATACATGCTGATCTCATGAAAAATCAAGCAGGAACTATCCAGGAAAGCAAGGTGTTTAAAGCCAGCCATTTTTTTATTTTTTTACATGAGAACGGATTAATCATTTTTACATTACTTCTTATGGGAAAGATTGGTTTGGTATACATCCTATTCGGTATGAGTCCAAATATCAGGAATGGATTAAGGTCGTATACCGAGGTTCCACTGTACTTAATCTTTTCATTGCAATACCATATATTATATTACTGTAGTAGATAATTTTCTAAAGACTGTATGTTACTGTACACTGTACTGACATGAATTTTTTTGAGACTATTTCTTGTAATTATAAATTCAGTATAACCTACTAAAGCTCAGTAAAATTTCTGAATAGAGCTGATGATGATAAATTACTGTACTTTCTTGTTTTCCATATTATCAGAAAAAACACCCAGCTAATGTGGACAACCTTCATCTCCTGTTAGTCCAAGTTGGTGGGGTTTTATTGTATTTTAATCAAGTTAATAAAACATACATACACTTGAGATGCTTAAGTTTAATATAAATCTGAACTGAAAAAAAATCATTCATTTCTATATATTAGTTGTGGCCAACAAATCAATTGCAACATCATTTTAGTCAGTCATGACTAATATAGCCTGTTAAAATGTAAAAACATTTGTAATTTTTATGGAAATATAAATTCCATATTCTTCACTATGAAATATTTAACTGTTGCCATGCTGTATGAGATATGGATTTATTGTTTCTGATTGCAATGCAGTGAAAAGAACATGTGCAATACTGAATGAAAATTACAAGAAAATGGAATGTGCACTTTGGTCTTATCTAAGTTAGGTTATTATTTTAGAAATTGTTTTATTGTGCCTTAAACAATTTTAATTAAATACAAAATGAGTGTATGAAACAAAAGTGAAACTTGTGAATGGAAATAATAATTATTTGTTATGATGAATGCTGTTGTTTAATTTATGCTTTAGGGTATTTTCTAAAAGAGTAAGCTGGAATGTCAATTATTATGCAATAAATATAATTGTTTCGTAGTATAATTTTATAAGAGTAGATTAATAAACTTTATATAAAAGAATAAAAATATGGTAGTAGATTATCAGGACTTTTGACTTATGAAAATTGATCATATTCAACTGTAAGTTGCTCAAGCCTGATATATATTACGTATGTGTTTCTTGAAATAGTGGATGATGTGAAATTTGTGGGCATAAATTAATAGTTAAAATTATTTTACATTTATAACTTTTTAAAAATTATTTGTAGTAATTATAATTATTAATCATTTCTTTAGTTAACTCATTTGGGGATTCCATTAGAGCATATTACGTGGTCACGAGTAACAATGACATCTGATCAATGGATTTGCATTCGGCATAGTGATAATTCTAAAAGGTTTTTAAATTTTTTTGTTAAATAATTAAATAGGTCTTACTTTAACTATTATTATATACTATCTGAATGATTATTTGACTAGATCAGCGGTTCCCAACCATTTTTCATTAGCGTATTCCTGTGGCATTTCCAACTTCCCAATGAGCAACACATGTGCAAATCTCGCACTGCCTGTTTGTAGAGAGTGTCGCCATTTTGAATTTTATTTTGACTCTGTCCCCTGAGTACCAACAAGTCTGTTTTTTTTTATGCACACATGATTTGGGCACCTAATACTTTGTGCCAAATTGCAACTTTTGACATGTACAGTACTCTTTCATACCTCCAAGCTGGTAACACAGCAGGCAGTACGATTTTATAAACAAAACAGTTTTGTCAATAGAAAATTAATAAAAATACTGAATAAATAATGAAAAAAATTACCTCTTGTACAGAAAATCTGGAAAAACTAGCTATGTCCTTTTCCTTGCTAACAAAAAAAATTCTTTTTATAAACAAATGAATACTTTTTCAAACAATGCATGGGGATATTGTTGAGATAATAATAATAACTACAGTAACACACACCAGCATCAAAATTCCGTAGCATAATCACTAATCATGCATAATGGTATCCCCACTACCATTGACCAACTGCGCAACATTTATTGATCTGTTGCATTGTACAATCGGCAGCATAAGTTTTTATTTCTATGTTTGCATTTTGAAATGTATAATAAAGTTTGTGATTGTTGCAAGGAACAATTTTTGCCAAATAATTTTTTAATACATAATATATTATTTTTTCTCCCGTAATAACTAACTTTTTTCTGTACCCCTAAACAACCTATTGCATACCCTGGGTTGGGAATTGCTGGACTAGATGATAAGATTTTAAGTGATATTTAAATGGAGTATATATATATATATTTGGTAGAAAATAAAAATAAATCAAACTTTTGATGTTTTTTAGCAGTTGCTATAATTAAGGAGTTCTATGGAATAAGATACCTAAATTAAACTTTCATGTCTTCAAGAATTCTCAAAAACTATTCTTTATTCCATGAAGTTTGTTATGACTTGAATAAAGTTTAAAAAAAGTTATGCTTGAGTAAAGTACATATTATAGCAAGGGGACTGACTATCTATATCCATAAAATCCTATTTGATGTGCATAATAAAACACTTAACTGAAAAAGGTATCTAAGTGCAATTAAGTACCTTATTCCATAGAATTCCTCAATTGCAACCATATGCACATTTTAACATTCTTACACATGTCAATATTTGTTTGACACATTGTAGATGCCTCTATTTGGATAGATTAGAACATTAAACATGAAAGTATTGGAGTATTTAGGTTGTGTGCCATTGGAATTCTGAAATTATGCATCATAAGTGGCAAGTCAATATTAAATTCTACAATAAACATGTCTATCAAAGAGCCTTAATTGAATTCCAATGAGATTTAATGAGATACTTTTGAACTAATGCTTTCAGTCTACAAATAAAGATCATATTCAGGATGGAATATTCAGAGTTCTTGAATATAAGCATTTCATCATTAAATTTAAGTATAAAATGATAATTTAAATGCCTAACAGAAAATGGGTGTGATAAATGAACAGAACACAAGAACAAAACAATCAATGCTGATTGCTTGCTTCTTACTCATTAGATCCTCTGTGCTAGCAAGTGCAAGGATTGCCTCTTCTGTGCCAGCAAGTGTAAGGATCACCTGTTTCTTGCTGGCTCTGTCTCAGTTCTGTTGTAATATGATAGTTGCATGATGTCCTAGTATTCAAATATTATTGTATGAAAACAGAGCAACAGTGAAATAAACAAACAAGAAAGTGAGCCTACTTTAATGAACTGTTAACAACAATAAGCACATATGAATTCACTGAAATTTTATGATAAAAATTACTAAATTACACAATTGCAGAACACAGACAATGCCAGTGAAACAAATGAAAACAGACATTGAAAATAGTCATTCTCAACTTCCTTTTTGCCAAGATTATTTGATTCATACACACAGTATAATAAAGAACATCATTTATTGTAGTTGAAGAGGATATTGGGGTATGATTGTACAGTAATACGCTGCTTAATGCAGGAAATGCATTTCTAGATGACAAAGCACTGAACGAAACAGTGTTAAATGAGGTCATTTTAACATAGAGTAAATAGGGAAAGGGGAACATGCAAACAGATTATACTTTAAGTTATTTTTATATTAATTTGCATAATAATATATGTTAAATAACATAAACATATGCACACAGAAGTGTAAAGTTCATTATTTGTGATGAATATCTTGGTTCTTCTGAAATTCTTGTATTTTGCAATAAAGTCGTGTAGTTTCATTTGTCGCTTTTTTTTTCTTTCCTTTTTTTCTTTCTTTCCTTTTTTCTTTCTTTTTTTTTTCTTTTCCTTCTTTCCTTTTAATCTTCTGCTACCGACAAAATGTCGGTAGCAGAAGATTGCATCCAAAACACCACATTTTGCTTTTGCACTCCTTTCAAAATTTGGATCATTCGCTACAATTTGATCAACGATTTTTTGACAGTTCGAAAAGGCCAACAGCCACAATGTCATCTAAGATATCAGTTATCATTACCAAACTTTTACTAAGGAAATCTGTAGAGAAATGCTTTGCGTTCTTCGTTTTCAGAATCACTATTTTCCAGTTCCACATGAATTCCTTGTTCTGTTAGTTCTTGAAGGTTGTCATTGGTTAGGCTATCACCGGAAACCTGCAGTAACTCCTCAATATCCTGCTCGTCTACATCTCCTAGTCCTACTGTTTCAATTAGGTTGACAATTTAGTCAACCTAATGATACAGAAATAGGCTCTTCTTGTTGAGAATTTTCAAATACCTTCAGCCATAACTTCTTCCACACTTCATTCATGCATTTATCAATTAATTCTTGCTAATCAAAGTCGATATTGCCTATGGCATTTATGATATAATTTTTCCAAAATTGCACAAAACAAATATAGAATTAATGGAAGTATGGTGCTATGACAAATTAGCATGTTTTGCTGATTGGTTCTTGTTCACAAATAATCGTATTATATACGAATCAATGAATTGCCATGATAATTTGAATCAGCGTAAATGTTGAGCTTTTTTTAGGCTTCGAGCAGATCGCATTATATTAAATCAGCGTTAATCAAGGCAGCGTTAAGTGGGGTCTTACTGTACATATAAAGCAAAGTTTACTATTATTTCTCTTTTTACTTTCAATTACAGTTTGTATTTTACATGTAACAATCTTATTTTTATTTTATCATATTATTATTGTAAAATTAGATAACTACTATTGAATTTATTTTATAGGAGAACTATTTTTGAGATATCTATGTTGATATAAAGTCAAAATTAATCATTTTTATGATTTTGATAATAAAGTTTAAAAATTATAGTGTTAACTTTATATTTCTTCATTTAGTAAAAAATATTCAACAGGCAATAAAGCAATTACTGTTCTTAATCCACATCATTCATTTCCTGAAACTTGGGAAGCTATTGCAAGTTCTGCTCAAATGAACCCCATTAAACCATTAATTGCTGTAAGAGGTAATATAATTATTTTTTTTATTATAAAAAGTTTATTAAATATATTAATGTATTCTTATGTGGTTTATTTCAAATATATATATTTGAAATAAACCACATAAGAATACATTAATATATTTAATAAACTTTTTATAATAAAAAAAATAATTATATTACCTCTTACAGCAATTAATGGTTTAATGGGGTTCATTTGAGCAGAACTTGCAATAGCTTCCCAAGTTTCAGGAAATGAATGATGTGGATTAAGAACAGTAATTGCTTTATTGCCTGTTGAATATTTTTTACTAAATGAAGAAATATAAAGTTAACACTATAATTTTTAAACTTTATTATCAAAATCATAAAAATGATTAATTTTGACTTTATATCAACATAGATATCTCAAAAATAGTTCTCCTATAAAATAAATTCAATAGTAGTTATCTAATTTTACAATAATAATATGATAAAATAAAAATAAGATTGTTACATGTAAAATACAAACTGTAATTGAAAGTAAAAAGAGAAATAATAGTAAACTTTGCTTTATATGTACAGTAAGACCCCACTTAACGCTGCCTTGATTAACGCTGATTTAATATAATGCGATCTGCTCGAAGCCTAAAAAAAGCTCAACATTTACGCTGATTCAAATTATCATGGCAATTCATTGATTCGTATATAATACGATTATTTGTGAACAAGAACCAATCAGCAAAACATGCTAATTTGTCATAGCACCATACTTCCATTATTTCTATATTTGTTTTGTGCAATTTTGGAAAAATTATATCATAAATGCCATAGGCAATATCGACTTTGATTAGCAAGAATTAATTGATAAATGCATGAATGAAGTGTGGAAGAAGTTATGGCTGAAGGTATTTGAAAATTCTCAACAAGAAGAGCCTATTTCTGTATCATTAGGTTGACTAAATTGTCAACCTAATTGAAACAGTAGGACTAGGAGATGTAGACGAGCAGGATATTGAGGAGTTACTGCAGGTTTCCGGTGATAGCCTAACCAATGACAACCTTCAAGAACTAACAGAACAAGGAATTCATGTGGAACTGGAAAATAGTGATTCTGAAAACGAAGAACGCAAAGCATTTCTCTACAGATTTCCTTAGTAAAAGTTTGGTAATGATAACTGATATCTTAGATGACATTGTGGCTGTTGGCCTTTTCGAACTGTCAAAAAATCGTTGATCAAATTGTAGCGAATGATCCAAATTTTGAAAGGAGTGCAAAAGCAAAATGTGGTGTTTTGGATGCAATCTTCTGCTACCGACATTTTGTCGGTAGCAGAAGATTAAAAGGAAAGAAGGAAAAGAAAAAAAAAAGAAAGAAAAAAGGAAAGAAAGAAAAAAAGGAAAGAAAAAAAAAGCGACAAATGAAACTACACGACTTTATTGCAAAATACAAGAATTTCAGAAGAACCAAGATATTCATCACAAATAATGAACTTTACACTTCTGTGTGCATATGTTTATGTTATTTAACATATATTATTATGCAAATTAATATAAAAATAACTTAAAATTAAAGTAACATCTGTTTATTTTTGGTCGCGTGTTTCCCTTTTCCTATTTACTCTATGTTAAAATGACCTCGTTTAACGCTGTTTCGTTTAGCTCTTTGTCCTCTAGGAACGCATTCCTCGCGTTAAGCGGGGTTTTGCTGTAATTGCAAACCTGAATACATGAGTTAGAAAGAAGTCTTTATATGTCATGTTAAAGAAAAGATTGATGTACCAATTTTTCCTGACGATAATGTTTTTGAAGACGTTGAATGTGATATGAATTTATATAACAAGAAAGATTTCGTGAAATGAAAGCTTTGAGATTGGCACTGGTAAATTTAGACCGCCGAGATGGATTAGGAGAGCGTGCTTTCCACGAGGCATTTAATTGGAATACAGTCGAAAAACATCGTGCAAACGAAATGTTGAAATTTGCGAATAATTGTAAGGAAATTATCGCAGCTCAAGAAGAATCACTAGAAGATTCCGGCAACACTATAAGATTAAATCAAGAGTAAGAAACAATATATAATCTTTGCAAAGATCAGCTTCTGAATAGATCTGAAATTAAGCGAGTACTTATTCAGGGAAAGTCTGCATGGGAAAAGGCACACTAATTAAGGCCATAGTAAAATCGGTAGGCAAAACCATAAGGAAAGATAACATCCAAATACTTGCTTCAACCGGTGCTGCAGCCATCAACATGAATGGTAAAATAATTCAGTTTCTAAGAATTCCAATTTGTTCTTTTAAATAAATAGTTGGAGAATCTCTTCGAAACTGTCAGGTTGCATCAAGCAGTACTCAATACAGTTACACCTCAATTTTCGTCGATAATCCGTCAGAAAACAATCGGCGATCCGAAACCGACGAAAACCGAGGCAATTATTTCCATATGAATTAATGTAACCAATTAATTAATTCTAGACACTCCGAAATACATGCCAAAAACACATTTTTTAGAGAATAAATATAGTGTTTAATACTCAAAACAATAAGAATTTAATATAAAATAAATGTAAAACACTAATGTAAAGAATAAATGAACATTTAACATGGCATTCGAAGGGCTGCTGGTTCTAAAAACTTTCTTTGGTCCATAATGGATCTGAAAAGAAAGGAAAGCAATGGAATTGTTTGGCGTTTTCAAAACTCTTTCCGCCCTGTGGGCACTAAGAAGGCTTCTTTTAACAAGCCCATTATGGGTTCCGCTAGGCCTACAATGGGGCGGCCGAACGGTGAGGGACGGGGCCCGACATATTTGGACGGACCACCACCCGAAAAATTCTTGAAGATTTTTCGACCCGTACGGATTCTATCCCGGTCCCCAGAGCGGTAGGCTGCCATCTTGACCACTAGGCCATCCGGCCGTCTCACTTTGAGGACCATAATGAATCTGGTCAAATTTTCAAAAGTTTTAATGTATAGTCAGGAAGCTTTTTAAAAATAATAAAGGAAACTAATAATCCTATATGATTTTACGAAATACAGTTTCGGAAATCGACATAAGCGACATTAGAATGCAGCGAGCGATAATTGAAATAAAATGGTTGGCAACACTTTGTTATTCTTAGTTCTCGTGTGATAGAGATCACGTTGTCATTTTAGTCGCCCCTAAACCGAAGCTACCTGGGCATTTTACAAGGATTTAGTCATGGTATGTTAATTTTAAAAATAAAAATATTTGTAAAATTTGGCATCTTATTATTCGTTTTATAAAACAGTAAGCTTATCATTACTCTAAATTGTTCAGTGACATCGATGAATCTAGATTATAAAAGCAGTTAGGCTTATATCGTTGCTTTAGTTAAAATCATTTAAAATAAATATAATTTGAAAACATATTACGTATTTTTTAATCCAGTTTAATTGTTNATCTTTTATGTATGATGTCTGCTTTGTGTTCTTTGATCCTCACCTCCAACAATGTACTTAGAGAAAATCTACAAAGAGATCGCCAAAAGAAAACAAGCCTCCTTAATAATTAGAAGATGTCCCACTATATTTAGAATGCTAAATAATGCAAAAGACATGCCACACCAAAACAAATTAGCAGGTGTATACAGGATCCCTATAAAAGATCATAGGTGTGATAAAGACTTAGTATACGTGGGATCCACAAAAAACGTGGGATCGTTGGAGGTGAGGATCAAAGAACACAAAGCAGACATCCTACATAAAAGATATACAACAGCATTAGCGCAATATGCCACGGACCCTGACATACAAGCTGTATTGACGAGGCAAAAATAATTTACACCACACAGCTAATACACCATTTGCGATGGATGGAAGCGATATATATCTATAAAACAGCAAGAGAAGACGAGTGTATAAACAACCTTATTGTTTATACACTCGTCTTCTCTTGCTGTTAAGGATGAACTATCATTATCGATAGCATGGCAAACTCTTATTTACGACACTTGAGAAGCCAAAAACGATCCTTCTATCTACAGAGCATGCGCAAGTTTAATACGATGATTGGAGTTTCCTTAGAACATTACGTTCAGATTTTCGAATAACATCGATTCTACCCGATTTATTCACCTGAAGAAGAACTAAGTTCGAAAACGTTTGTGAAAATATTTGGAAATAAGCACTGTTTTGGTTTACAGCAGAAGTAAGTCGTAAAATAGATAATTATTTTCCCGGCTCTGTTATATAACAGAGAGCTGTCGGTCAAAAAATGACCCCTCAAGATTTTTACATTTTTGGATTCAAGACATTGAAAAATCAAAAAATGCAAAAATATTGGAGGTTTTTTTGGTTTGGGGGACATGATTTTGTTCAACCTCTTTGAAGCTTAGTAACTCCTTTGCTTTTTGTCTAAAATTTCTGAAATTTTGCAGGGAGGTTTGTGTATTAGGCCGAGACTCCACTATCATAAAAACGGCGTAAAACCCCTTGCCGCAAAAGCTTTTAATCACATGACCATGATATTTTAAGTTTGAGAAGGTCGTAAAACCAGCATAAAAGCAAATTGAGCAGTGTTCAACTTTCGACGTGAATACGGCCGTAAAGTGGTACCTTCCACCAATTAAAAGTCAGTGAAATATAGGTCATTGTGACGTGCTGCTAAAATGATGGAAAATAAACTTTTGTGTATGTTCCCTCGTGGCTGCTCTAGAATAGATCTGGAAAGATTTATCAAAAACATCCGAAAGTATTCGTGTATCTACGACAAGAGGTAACCCGATTATAATAATGGATGTCAAAGGAAAATCCTTCCAATTTAGAGGAGTATATAATAAAAAAGCTAAGCTTATAAGTGCTGTATATTATCTTAATAATACGATAACAAAAGTTAATATATGAAAGTAAAGATTTTATTTTTTACTACATTTGTAATTATAGTACAGAAAAAACTCATAGAATATAATCATTGTCTTTATATTGATATACAGTAGAGCATTATTTATCCGAATCAATTGGGGACTGGGGTTGTTTGGATAACCGATTATATATGAAAAAATATATTAGTTTATCCCATGTTGAAATTTTTCTCCGTTGCGTGTCGCTTTGCGTTGAATTTTTGTAAATGTTAAGCCTAATGTAAACTTTTTAAAATAATAATCATGGCTATTGTATTGTTAAAAATTATTTCTTTATTTTTTACAAACAAAATAAATATATTGAAAAATATAAAAACAAAAAAAAATTATACTTTAGAAGTTAATCTAGTATCAAAAATGTTTGATTCAGCATGACACACAAAATTACCAGTGCTGCCAGCTAAAACACACACATCAATCAAAAAAATATTGGAGTAGCCCAAGATATAGCCAAAGATTGCAGCGCCAGCGAAAATTTAAATTTGCTGAATTCTTTCAGATAACTGACTTTCAGATAAACGACGCTCTACTGTATCACATGCAACTGTCTTCCATTTCTACAATTCACGTGCGAACAAGTATTTACTTTTGACACTTGGGACATCACTGTCACCGTAAAAACTTCGTTAGCCGTACCTCCACCGCAATCCAGACGCAAACGCAAATAGGTCACGTGATTAAAAGCTTCTACAGCGAGGGGTTTTATGCTGTTTTTACGGTAGTGGAGTCTCGGCCTTAGGAGGATTGATGCTATTAAATTTTGGTGATTAAATGTTGAGGAGTGAGGAGATAAAGGGGATTGTTTGTCATATCTCCAGTAGAGCCAGACTTAATGACAATTTTTCTTCTTATTAGCATTTACAACTTTTCATAGAACCTATCCCTATCCTCAAGATTAAGCTTTGTTGTTCTATAATAGTTAAAAATATAAAAAGCTTTTTTTAATAAAATATGATAACAGATGATGCCATCAAATGTTGCCAGGAATGATAAGCAACTCATTGTTGGATTTTTCTAATAAGTATTTCTAAGTTTTAATTGTTAATATTACCTTTGCTTTAATTTTAAATTTATTTGAATGCATCAGTTGTTAAATTATTTTAAGATAACCTAAATTGTGTAATAAAACAAAGAAGATATTAACTATTTTTCACTTATCTTTTAATAATTAAATTATTAAACATTAATTAAATATATAAAAGATTAGAAATAACAATATTTCTGAATAAAGGCAGTCCTCAACTATTGAGAAAATCACAGGATTGAGAACTATTGAGAATTTGTACAGGATATTGATCTCTTAACTTGCCTTTCATATACTAAATTTAGACTATCATACATTTTCGGCTGTCATATGGTGGTGCTTTCTTCCTATTTTGGATATGGTAATAATGAAATGTTTGTGAAACTTAATTTTTTTTTCTGTTATCTGTTTAATCTCTAGATTTGATGCATTAAATAATGTTTTATAATTGCATATATTTAAAGCAAAAAGCAAAATAAATTTTTCTAAATTAGTGAAAGAATTTTTTAATGTATGATTGAATAATGGAAAAAATTAATTTAATTAAAAAGATAATTGCTTAGCTTATATTAGTGAATAGTAATTTATTTTTTTTGTACTTTGCAGTAAAAGGATGATACCAATCAAAATTGCTAAGAATATAAAATATAATTAAGTTAATCAAGTTCTTTCTCTTTTGAAAGTTAATATCAGAAATAAACAAAAGTAAAAATTATCTCTGAAGAAAAAGTAACATATAAATAAAAATATGATTTACTTATTTTTTTTGCAAATAATTACCATTTTTTGTAAAAATTGCATAACTTTCCTGGTGAAAAATATTTGTTTAAGAAACATATTAGCAAAGTTTAAAATTTTATTTGTACTACCTGTTACGAGATTTCATTAAAAAAATGAGAAATTGTTGTGACATCATCACAATGCTAGGCTGCAATTTTTCATCACAATACTCTCAATTTTAGTAATGTCTTGCCCATATACTTTTCCTGTTAGCAATTGAGTCATGCTGATCATCTATCTAACTTCGTTCAGGAGAAAATTTTTTAATTGAAATAATGTAACTTCCAGTTTACATATATAGTTAATTAGGGCTTCCTGCCCCTAAGCTTTCCATATCTGGTCTCAACTTTCATCTAACTCAATTCTTGAGAATAAGGAAAGATGGACAGATGACAGACAGATGGGTGCCAGTGAGAATTTACAAGTCTACAATTTTTGAAAATTGCAGCTCAATAACTTTTATATTATTAATTATAATAAAAAGGCAAAAGGTTTAATTTTGAAGGTAGAGATGCATTTTTAAAAATATCAATAATATAACTGCCAATAATGATTAATACTTTCATTAAGTCAAACCCCACCTGAGATACGAAAAATGACTCCCTCTATCTCCCTACCCCCTTGAACTTTAGCCACAAAAATTTAAGAGCATCAATGCTATGTGTATACAAACTACCATGCCAAATTTTGTTTCTTAATCCTTATCCCATCCTGAGATATTAAATGAGTTTGTTGGTATGTTTTTGAAATATCCTGTATATAATTCATTTATGTTTAAAACTGATTAATACTTTTTAATGTGTATCTGCATTTTGTAATGAAGATATACTTTAAACATTTTATAATATTTAGATGAATCAAAAAATAATTTAAAATTAAAATAAATAACAAGACAAAGCCTTTATACTTCCTTTACTACATAATAATCTGGTTTAGGAAAATGACAGGCATTTTGTAAAAGATTAAAGTTTGTTTAGAAGAAATTATAATGTTAATTATATTTTAATTGCATTAATCTGCACAAAAAATTACTGCGTATTTTTAAATGTGTAAATTTTGAATTATTATTAATGAAATATTTCATTTCAGCTGATCTTGTTTTTCAAATTTATAATCTTGAAACAAGATCATGTCTTCATAAATATAAAATGCTCCAACCAGTTCTTTATTGGACATGGATTAATTCCAGCATAATTGCTTTTGTAACAGATACAGCAGTATATCACTGGAATCTTTTACAAGGTTAGTAATTTATTAATAAAGAAACAACAAATATTTAAATATTGTTAATAAATTTATTATAACTTCTTTGATTTACAGATAACAATTTATTTAAAAACTGTTAAATGTGAAACATTAATTGGAATGTAAGATAAAAATATTTATTATTGCATAAATATGGAGAAACTCATATAATTTGAGATTTCAAATGTGCTATAATATTTGTTCAGATTTATATGTCAAATTGAACTATTACACATTAAAAGTATGAGAGTTGATTGAAAATAAGATCTTTTACTGTAGCATTCCATGATGCGTGGGGATATAAGCACATGATTATTATTATTTAATGCTATGAGTGTTTGGTCTGTATATGCAAAGTCAACTTGTTATATTGTGCCATTGTGTAACAGTCAAATTTAAACATGAACATCTTACTTGTTCTGTACAAAACAATGATCATTGATTGAATTTTTAGTATTGAAAGGTTTGTGTGAAGGGAGAAACAATCAAGTCAGTGAAGTACCATGCTCTAGATGAATTTACAGCATAAAACCGGAAAGAACAGTATTTTTCTTGCATCAAGATAAAACAAAACCACACTGCAGTAAGGAAAAAGTGAAAATGTCTATAGATCTGCAGTTACAGATTATTCTGCACCTTCCTTACTGCTCAGATCTGGCTCCATCAGACTTATGGTTGCTTACAAAACTAAAGGTGCTGTAAAGTACTATATTTAGTTTGTTGCTCTACAACGAATTTTTTCTTAAAGAGCCGGGACCTAACGAGTACTTTACGCGGGTTCGCGTTTATTAGTTGCCAGGCCTGGACTTTTAGCGTGCACCGAAATAAATTAAGGACAAAGTNATTACAATTTATAATTATTCAATATAATTAAATATAATTATTCTTGAGAAGTGATATACCAATACTATATTTCCTGTAATAATTATCCACTGAATAATTTTTTTTTCTTTGTGGGCAATTATTGGAGTGAAAAAATTGATATCATAAGAAAGGAAAGAAACATGATTCCAAAAAAGATGTAAAACTACTTAAGTTGAGATATCTTGACAAATATGCAAAAAATAATTTGAGTGAAGTACTTGAATTATCTTAACTTTGTAAATTTCAACAGTTCCCAATTGAACATCAACAAAGATATTAGCCAGTATTAATTTTTCTAACTTTGAGGTTGGAAAATATCATATCAATAATTGATTGTTCAGTAATATTGAACACCACTAATACACTGGTACTGTCAACTGGTGCAATACCAGTTGACAATACAGGTTAGATGGGTGATTTATATGCATGATTATTACAGGAAATAAAGTACAGTGGGTGATTGGTTAACGAACAAATCGGATAACGAACACTTTCGCGAAAGATTTTTATGATCGGACAACGAACACTTCACTGAACAAACACAAGAAGCGACGTAAAATAACGAATACTGATTGGTCTTCCTTTGTCTTCAGGCAACAATTCGAAACTTTTCAGAGCATGGGAGACGTCGACATCGATGTTCTACCCAGTATAGTCTATACTGATCGAATAGTATTCCCTGAACTTTGAAACTCTCCCTTGTAATTCCAGCCTTTTATATTTCTGACAGAAACAATTCTTTTACGTTTTCTTTTGAAAATGCAGATTTATGCCGATATCTGCTATTAAAGATCTTTTGAGGAAGTGGGAGGATGTCAGAACAACGGTCTTAAAATGGCATCCAAACCAGGTTGAGGTTAATAGGCTTAGGGATCTGTACAATTACAATGCTATTAATTACTTCTGAAAAATCCTGAAGAAAAGAGAAAAGCAATCAACGTAAGACAGATTCTTTAACCTCCACAAATGGAAAAAACATGACTAATAAAAATGCAAGACCATGTATATATGTATTTTTATTATTACATATGAATAAACATAGTAAGAAAGTATATAATTTTTATTTTTTGGGGGGTCTCCAGAATGAATTAATCAAATTTTCATAAAAACCTATGGTAAATCGATAATCAGTTAACGAACAATTCGGATAGCGAACAAAGTCTTGGAACAGATTATGTTCATTAACTGATCACCCACTGTATATGCAGTTAGTATAATGCAATTAGTCTCTTGTTTCAAATAAACAAATTTAATGAAATATTAAACATAATTAAATACTTGTAGTAAAATTTTGTAATGTAATTAAAAAAAAAAAAAAAGATAATTAAATAATCTCTTCTAAACACACTGTAAAATAAACGACTTACTTCTGCTGTAAACCAAAACAGTGCTTATTTCCAAATATTTTCACAAACGTTTTCGAACTTAGTTCTTCTTCAGGTGAATAAATCGGGTAGAATCGATGTTATTCGAAAATCTGAACGTAATGTTCTAAGGAAACTCCAATTATCATATTAAACTTGCACATGCTCTGTAGATAGAAGGATCATTTTTGGCTTCTCAAGTGTCGTAAATAAGAGTTTGCCATGCTATCGATAATGATAGTTCATCCTTATTGTTTATACACTCGTCTTCTCTTGCTGTTTTATAGATATATATCGCTTCCATCCATCGCAAATGGTGTATTAGCTGTGTGGTGTAAATTATTTTTGCCTCGTCAAATACAGCTTGTATGTCAGGGTCCGTGGCATATTGCGCTAATGCCGTATTATATCTTTTATGTAGGATGTCTGCTTTGTGTTCTTTGATC